ACCCCACGAATACTGTGTACGAAAAAAATTGAAGAAATAAGATGTGATGAGTAGACAATAAGGAAACGAAAAATCCAAAAACTATAGAGCCGCCAACAACAATGAGAGAAACAACAACTGAGGCGCAAAGCTTTAAAGCGACAAATGGAAACAAAAGATGGGGGACAAATGGAGAGAGAGACGAGGGGGGAGGGGGGGAACAGAGAGGAAGTGTGACAGTGCTATGGAGGGGCATAGAGAGGAAGTGCTATGGAGAGGCACTGCAGAGTAGAGATGGTCACACAAATCCGAGTCCAAGCCAAGACAAGAGCTTAGAAGCAGAAGAGGGCAGAGGGGAGGGCAGAGGGGAGGAAGAAGAAGCAGTGGAGGGCAGAGCAGAGGCAGGAGGCAGGAGGTGGGAGAACAAGAAGAACGACGTTGACGACAATGGAATTGGTCAGGCAGAGATACGAGCACCAAAAGGAGCAGAGAACAGAAAGCAGGGAGAAAGAGAGACAAGTTCTGGTTGATGATACGTAAGCCAAATGAAAAATCGACTCCCAAGTGGGGGGGGGGGGGGGGGGCAGCGCCTCCGTAGGAGTATATCGCATCCTGCAAATCCCCCTCACAGGCTCATTCATCACACACCCACACACACATAGACAAAAAAGAAGAAAGTAACTTCCGTCATGGCTCAGAGGAAAGCTCTTGTGTTCCTCGCTCTCTCTCTCTCTCTCTCTCTCCTTTCTGTCCTTTGCCGTCCTTCTGGCTGCGATTACTTTTTTGTTTATGTCTGCGATTATCCAGTGCAATGGCTGTATGAAATTTTCGCTGACCACGCCTACGTAATGTACCATATTGGACAGGCAGGCAGGCAGTAGGCTGATTTCAGGGGGTATACTCCCTCGGAGGGTGGGATGAGGAGCAGCATTTGTTGGTAACAAAATGTGGATTTGAAGTGTATTTGAATTCGGAATAGAATAAAATAGAATTAAATCAATTAATATAATGGAATATAAAGCATTTTGGTCGTGGAAACATTGGCTCAGTGTTTTAGAAATATAAGGAATATTATTTAAAGTAGTTTTATATTGAACATATGTTTGTACATTTCAGATTATAATCTATCATCTTTATTTTATTTATTTATTTTATCTACAATCTTTATTTATCTTTCAACTTTATCATCTTTATTTTTCACTATTTATACTATTTTTTTTTTTTTTTGCTTTCAGTTGAATGCTTATTGAAACATTTTTGAATTCTTTAATCTTTGCTCAGAGTTTAAGGAATATAAAGAATATTATTTAAACAATTTTTATATTGAACAAAGATTTTAGATTCAAATCTACTTCCAGCAACAAACTGTATCATCTTTTTCCACTATTTATACTATTATTTCTTTATTTTTATTTTTAATATTAATATTATTATCTTTTTATTTTTATTATAATTATTAATTATTAATAATTATTATTATTTTATTATTATTATTATTATTCGTATTATTCTTATTATTATTATTTGCTTATTTTCTTTCATTTCAAAGGGTACAAAACTCTTCGTTTCACAGTCCTCAAAAGTTCCCTTTTTTATGATTTTAATTTTCGGTACAAATTTGGTGACATTTTTGTTTTGTTTAATGAGAGAATATCTGCTCTGCCATGAGGTTTCCACTGCTGTTTGTTCTCCCACACACCCCCTCCCCCCCTAAGGCCCCTCTAGTTTGTGCTTCCTCCTCCCTTTTTTATGCCACTGTCGAGTCTCCAAACCCTGTGCTCTGCCCTGTGCTCTGCCCTGTGCTGTAATAAAACTAATGTTGACTTTGGACTGACCCGTTTTCTGGCCCTGGAAAATCTAGTGGCATTATGGCAGATATGTACAGCAAAAAATGGCAATAATTATAGCAGCTGAGGTCAGAGCAAAAAACTTTACATACTCGAATCCGTGTGCGTATGTTTCTGCGGTTGGTCCGGTTTTCGTTTGGTTTTTGTGAGGTTTTTTCCCCGCTTTGTATCCAAGTAAAATGCAATTACACTTGTACTCGTACTCGTACTCGTACACGTACTCGTATCTATTGCAATTGTCTCTGTGTGTGCTCGAGTTATGTTTTGTAATTTCATATTGAGGTCAGTGCTACTGACAGTAATTTATAAAATTTATATTTGTTCATTTTTTGCGCGCTGCTGCTTCATGGACAAAAAAGGTCAAGAGTCTTGCTCATTTGTTGCTGAACTAGAAGTTGGGGGGCCCCTGAAGGTTGTGTTGAGAGATCAAACAATGCCGGAGAGGGTGTGGAAATGAAGGGAAATCTGAAAACCACAAAGCGGTGTAGAGTTTTAATGGGAATTCAAACAATAAATATATCTAAGGAAGGTTTTTCTGAATTTTTCAGATTTTTGAGGCCTTTGAAAATTTAAACCTGGGCAGTTTTCCGATATAAAAACACTTACGGCTAAGAAAAGCCCATCCCAAAGACCCAAAAGGTTTCTTCTGCCTACCTTTTCCTCGTATCCCATAGATTTTCGTTACTTTTCCTTTAGAAAACTCCTCGAAAACCCACCCAAAACCAACGATTACTTCAATCCGCCTACTCGCTAGCGCCATCTACTCGTACTCACTCGCCAGAGCGGCACTCGCTCACGTCCAGCCACTGCGCAGACTCAACTCGGCCTCGAACTGCACTCCTCTGGCCATTCAGCCCGGCCCACAGCAGAGGCAGACACGAAACATCGCTTGAAGGGTAAACAGCTCCCATAAAACCCTGGATTTCTGGGAAGGGCAGGCACCGGTTCAGAGGTGGAAGCCATTTGACGTGAATCCAAACATTTGCCAACCTTTGTTGGGGCTGTTTTTTAATGCTCTCTGGCATGAAGGCCTGTTGAAATATTATCCATAAATTGACAAACGTAAACGTAAAAAAATATTAATAAAGATTTTGCAGCGTAAAACTGATTGCGTGGCACTTAAATTTTTACGGCACGCTTTAGCCTCCAAAGTGGGGAATTACTGTGTGCTTTTTTGTATACTTTTTTGCGGGCCGAATCCTTTGCCATGAAATATGCATGAGAATCAGTCTGACTGACCCTCTCTGTCCTGCCGTCCTGCCGTCCGTCCGACGGATGCACGGACTCTGACAGAGGAGGCGCGTCAGCTGTCGGACAAGGCCAGAAGTCGTCGAACTGTGAAAGCGGCTCAAACCAACTCTATCCCCCTCCTGCTGTCCGAAATCCCCTGGAAACCAGGGAAAATATTTCCATATGCCTCTCTGGCTGCTGCCAAGTGTAAAAGTATTTCGCAAAAATGTACACATATATTCCGCTCTTTGAGAACTTTATTAATATTATTTTTATGATTATTATTGCGGCTGCTGGACTCAGGCCTCGACCTCGATCCGACTGCCGACTGCCGACTGGAACGTGATCTGGCATAATTACCGCCAGCGATGTCCCGTCCGAAATTGGCCAATCGCTATGATAATAAAAATACATAAATGCCAGGGCCAGGGCCAGGGCACTGCGGACGGTACACGGAACGAGCACAGCCCAGCCCGGGCGACACACTGGACAGCGACAATATTTTAATTAACTTAATTAAGCAATTTTTATTTGCCCATAACCAGGTGAGGCGGATGCTGCTGCCACTGCCACTGCCAGTGCCACTGCCACACCACTCGTCTCGCCATTGTTTGCCCTGCGATTGTGATGGACTCAAAAGGACATTATCGCAGAGTGCGGGTCCTGTTTGAATGCAAAAAGCATTATCGGATGCGCTCGTTCGTTGGGTTTGGACTCATTGAAGTGTTGATTGAAAGCTTGAACCCAGGGGAAACTTTACAAATATGATTGTCTTTAATATGGCAGGCATTCCCTGATATTACAGTCTTTTTGGTTGACAATTGGGGGATTATTAGGGGCTAAAGCACCTGGGATATCACCTCAAGTACAGTACTAGTACTGTAGTACATTCTGTGAATCCCCTGCACTGTATAGAAGGAGATCTAAGCCTTTTGGTGGAGCAACAGTGCCATCCACAAAGAGACCCCTCATTAAGACTCGCATATGGACTCAATATGGCCTTGTAATAACAATATTTACAGCCCTTCTAACATTGCCCGCTATAGTATACCTATTAGATAAACAGTTACTATAATTATAAATCATTACAAAGACCCAATACTGAAAAAGAGTATAGAGGGGTATTCTTAACAGATTTGTGGGGAAAGGGCATGTGTGCAACTTCCAGACGGAAGCCTTTCTTTATCAGCATCAATAGCCGAGTCGATGGAGCCATGTCTGTCTGTCCGTCTATCGCCTTCATCTCAGAGACTAGAAACGCAAGTCATAGGGAATAGCCATACCTACCAGATTGTCAAATCTGGATCAGATTGGCCTATTATTATGTCTAGAATGTATAAGCCATTTCATTCTCTCACGCGCTCTCGCTCTCGCTCTCCCTTTCTCTCTCTCTAGCACCTGTTTTCTGGTCTGCTTTGCCTGTCGCTGCAGATAAGCGCCTAAAACTCAGAGACTATAAGAGCTAGAGCCACCAAATTTGGTATCCAGACTGCAGTGATATGGCACTGTTGCAAGTTAATTTCAAAATTTGGAACCGGCCCCTGCCGCCCCCACAAAAGACGAAAATCTGTGGCATTCACATCCCCCATGAAGATACGAAAAATTTAAAAACGCAATATCACAGAGAATGTCCATGTCTACTAGTGTGCCAAATCTGGTTCAGATCGGTTCAATATTAGAGCCAGAACGGACAAATCAATTATCAGTGGCTAGGCAGCGCCCGACGACACGTTCAGACACGTTTGCTGTCTCGCTCTCTCGCACACACTCTTTTTCAAGCAAAGCAGAGGCGCCAGCCGACTGAGGCAGAGCAGCGGTCGGCAGCAGTGGACAGCAAGAAAAAGAAAAAAAGGTGTTATGGTATTGGTGACGTTTACTACGCAGCGCCTTTTCTTATGCGGCCGCAGCAGCACCCCCCTCCCCTCGTTATAATTTGTATTTTGTTTTTGAGCAATTTAATTTTTTTTTTATTAGGGAAAGTGTTGCTTTGGATTACAATTTATTGAGTTTTGTTGGCGGTGGGTTAACTTTTTTTCGCTGCAGACGGCCATTTTAGATGTTTAGGTTATGTTGAGATGGTTCCCTGGGAGTTTGGCTGTTGCTCAATTGTTGAAAACTCCCGTTAGCCGCTCTTGAAGAGCAGCACGGCCACCTGGCCGAGGTAGAAGTAGATAAAGTGACGCGTCTCGTGGGTGACGTACGAGCCGAAGTTGCGGCCGACGATCACGTGCCAGGTGGGGTTGTACTTCTTGTCGAACTCCTTCTTGATGTAGGCCGCAATGTCCTTCTCGATGTTGTACTTCTCCAGGGCCATGGTGGACACGTCCACGGCATCCTGCTGCATCTCCTCGCTCATGTCTGCGTTCTTGATCACTGCCTTGCGGTCCGACATTTTTCTTCTTTTTTTTTTACCAAATTTCTTTGTACCAAATTTCTAAGCGGAATAACCTCTAATTAGTTTTGCATTACACACACACACACACACACAGGCCTGTATGCATGTGGTTGTTCTTCTAGAATGTTCTTCTTACCAGTTTTCGCCGGCTTTTGCTGCTTTTCGCCCTTAGACTTGCTCTTTTTCCGTTTTTTATTCCTAAATATAAAAATTTTGTTATTTACCCGAACTAGACTGCAATTTGATTGACAAATCTTACAACCGCACACTTTTCCTGAATTTTTGATTGAATTTCTCAAACTTTCCTCCAATGACTCGCACTTTCCAAAACGCTGTGGCTGGGTTGCAGAAACGAAACGAGGGCTGGCCAAATGCACTTACACGATATGTTAAAGAGTATATATCGCAGTAAATATCGATGGGCTGATCCAAAATACTAATTAGTATTGATTTATGGGTATTTGCAGGTATGACCATATTATCCACCAAGCCCTTGAGCCACACTATCACACCTTGGTGGTGTTGTTGCCATTTTCAGTTTGAAAAAAATTCAAATTTATTAAAACTCATATAATTATGTTCTTGTTTCCAGATTTATCGAGTTCTTTTCTCTTCAAAAGATCAAAAGATTAAACGTGCAATATGTCGATTTACATGTAGATGTAGGTGTAGATGTAGCAAGCTTGTAGAGCTACTCGCTTCAGGTAAATCCGTTCTTGAAGGTTCCGCCATTTTAAAATATTTGAAACTGACTTGAAATTCGTAATTTTTGACCCCAAAAACCCCCCTGTGACGAGTTTCAAGCAAATCCGTTGAATTTTTTATATAAATTTCCACCATATTTCGACCATATGGTTTTTTGAGGTTAGAAAGAAAACATCGGAGGTGATGGAGCAAATCAGACCTTGGTCAGATATTAGAAACCCTGCTCAACCGCCCACGTCAGACGAAGGCTGTGTAATCTATCCTGAAAGATGCGTAGCCCATGAAAAGGTCAAAGAAAAAGTCCTGCAATCACGAGGTTGGGTCTAAGGGAATCTTTAATCTTTGCTACAGCCTTACTTTTCCATTGCTCACCGACTTTCCACCATCCACAGGCTTGATTCCATTCCAGCATATGGGAGATCTACCAAAGTGAGGCCAAGATTGAGATGACGGAGAATGAGGTGGACTATGCCGCCGACTGTGGAATATTTCTCCAGCGCGACTTCCATGGTAGCCCAAAGGCAGCCCAACGAGAGACCCAACCGACACGGACAAGAGCTTCGATCAGGAGACTGTCCTCCGTCTCCAAGTCCAACCATAAAACTCATGATTCAGTTTCAAGAATCGCCCTAGTATTCCATTCCGAAAAACCCCCGGACAAACACCTGTAGCTTAGACGTCCACACATTCACGCGATCAAAATGCAAATTATATTTTTTACGAGATGGAAGGGGGAGGGGGGGGGGGGCTATGGAGTCCCCATAGAGCCAGCTCCATCAAATCACAATCGCATGACACGAATTGGAAGCCGGAATTTGCACTTAATATGAAATTCGTTAATTTCCTTGCTGCTCCCCGGCATGGGTCCGGATCGGGGTCCGGGTCCGGGTCTTTGCCCCCGTCACTACTTGCCTCACATTTATCACACATCCGCGCTGCAAAAAGGCTGTTAAATTCGATTAGACATGCAATCACGAGACTTGAGCTGAACGGCAAATTTTAGATTGAATTTTAATAACAGCATTGTGCGCTCTCGCTAATCAAGTAATGCAACCAATTTTGAGCGGCAACAACGACAACATTGTGAACAAATTTCGCTTGTTTTTCCTAATGAAAAACCTAATTTAGCGGACACACGCTATGGTCAAGGATTTATTATGCCAGCGACAGGGACAGGGCCTGGGCTTGGGGTCTAATCTGACTAAAGGCATGTCTGTCTGTGCGGGTTTTGAATGGAAATTGATGCGACTTCCGTGGGTGGCTCATAATTCTCACTTAGATCATTCATTCGTAATGAATCAGGTGAATATTGAGGGGGGAATCTAGGGACTGCCTACAAGACTTTAAAGTGGGATTGTTGGGTTTTTAGTAGGAATTAAGTGACTCCCATATCCATTCCTTCGATTACTCCAAGACACCAACTCACTTCCACGTTCATTTACATAAAATACCTTCAATAAAGTTGCTTTTTTCCACCAACACAAGTTCGGAAAAGCGTTTTCCATGGGCTGTACGTTCTGACAGGACTCAATTGTGAAAATGAAAAATAACTTCATAACCGCATGTTAAATCTTTGCTGCCTGAGACCTGCCTGAGTGCCTCCTTGGGCTTTGTCGAGGAGAGAAACAACAAGAGGCAACAAGCAACACAATCGCACAATATTTCCGGGCAAAGGTAATAAATAAATTGCATACGTAATTAAAATCGACGACTCTGCACAGGACTCCGCCTCCTGCTTGGAGGCCAGGCCATTACAGCAGCAGCAACAACGACAATGCCAAGAACAAAAGTTTTCCGACTTGACTTGTGTGTGTGTGTGTGTGTGTGTGTGCTTCCCCTTTAACGTCAACCGGTCCTCACTTCACTCCACTTTCCCCCTCGGTTTTCCATGATTTTCCATGGTCTTTGCTGTTGCCTTGTTGGCAGCTCTTTTGTTTTTTATCCAGGAGTTGCATGCGAACAACATGGAAATGGTTAATGGGGGTAATGGGGCTGGTAGGGCCCGCCTCTCCTGCGGCTATACCCTTGAGAGGGGCTACATTGACTGTGGGTATCAGAATGGAGTCCCAGTCCGAGCTAAAACACCTTTCTTTGGCGCGATCTTTCAGTCTGAGTGATTTTACAGGGCATTTTCCACTTCATCATGTCCTGCCTGGGCCTTGTTTGCTTTTAATTTGACTTCATGAGCAATCAACGTCACGACGGCCACGACTCTCTGGGTCCTCGCCCTGCTTGTTCAGCAATTTGCATGACAAAAGCTCGGCTCGGGCTCCCTAGGAGCCTAAGCCCAAATGCTGAGTAGTATCTTTCACGAATCCCACGTAGATGAATTGTTTAGCCATTGTTTAGCCATTATTTGACAAAAGTCACGCAACACGAGAGGAAACTGGGCGAAAAACTTGTGGGAAAACCGCGTTAAAGGTGGCGCCGGCTTTAAGTTTTGGGGGGCGCTGTGAAGGCATAAATGTGCTTGTTGTCAGGCGAGCCATTAAAAAATCAAAACAAGTTAACAGTAACCAACTAGCGAGGCGATGGGCGATGGCGACGGGCGATGGTGAAAGGCGAATCGGAAGCCGGATGTGAGAGCAGGGCTCCTTTGCCGCAAGTTTGCGGTGGCGGCATGCGGCGTGTACAGGAAGCAGGCACACACACGCACACACACACACACGGGTGATATGGGAAGCCATTGTTGGTGTTGTTGTTGCCAAAGCCATGTGTCCTGTGGCTTCAAGCGCGAGCGCCAGAATCGCGATAAAAAACGAGGCGCAAGGCAGACCAGAAGATGCGATTTGGTTGCAAGGAATACCCCTTAAGGGAATGTATTACAACTATCCAAACAGGAAGCAAAACTTCTGCCAAGAGGACTCCTTATACACCCTTCGTTGTGGCGCGTCTACGGGGTATGCAAAAACCAGATTATAGGAAAAGGCTCAGGGTCTGACACTGATGTGTATGTGTGCTGACATCGGTGACCCATGTATGCCCCCCCCCCCCCCCCCCCTCCCCACCCCCCTGCCAGTCACAGGAAGAAGAGCCAGATATGGGGGTCATTTGCTTTGGCCAACAGGTTAGCCCACAGCCAGCAAAGTTGCTTAGTTTTTTGGCTTTAAGGAAGCCAGGAATACGCATAGTTCTGGTGGCTTTCGCAGATGTCAGCGTTTTGGCATTCTAATGCCATTAACTTTGTCATAATTCAGTGCAGTCTCGCAGCCCACAATTTATGCATAATGAGCACCAAGGCGGACCAACTCCGAGCTCCATGCATATGCAACTGGCAACCCAGTGAGCAAAAGCCAGTGGCACGAAGTGGCAGGAGAGTCCCTGATCTTCAGCTCCGAAATCCCTACGATGTATGAGAGCTTCTAAAGGTGTACGAGGCGGAGGCTATCAAGGACCTTTGCGCCTCTTACCTGCTACCAAATTGTTCATTGGGTTGTGGCAGGTGGCTGCAACCGTTTGAAAATGAGCTTCTTGTTGGCAAATATCGCCCGCTGGGTAACTCAGTTGCTGCCCCTGCCCCAGCCCCGGCCCCAGCCCCTGCCCCTCCTATAGCCTCGACAAGAACTAAGCTAGCCGGCCATATTAGCCAGGCATATGGGATGCTGGGTGGCCTGGCCTGGCCTGCTGCCCTGGGGGTGGCCATGGCAGGTGCAATTTCTTGGAAACTCCCAAACACAGAGAGCCAGCCAGCCGCCTCATGATATTTGAGAGCTGGCAAGCATCCATGACTTGCATTAAAATTGTGCGTGTGTGTGTGTGTGTGTGTGTGCGTGTGTGTGTGCTTGAATTTCTGCTCTCGACTCGTAAGCGTCAGCGAATATTTTTCAGTTATTTGCTTTTCATGGTTTTTCGGGAAGTACTCTCGGTTTTCTGCCAAAAATGTATGACACCGCATTTACGAGTATGCAGAAAAGAGAGAGAATAGTGGTGAAAGCACACACAGAGTGGGGAGTGGGGCAGGAGGGAGTGGCAGGGGGCAAAAGCCTGGGAACATTTTCCACATTTTGCATATTTGCATTGGGCAAATTAATTTCGCCTGTCATATTTACATTTCCCGCTCGCTCTGTGCTCCAACTCCTTTTCACAGCTGTCTCCCTCTCTCTCTCTCTCCCTCTCTCTGAAGCTGCAAGGGCACGTTGCGTGTGTTGCCGATGCGATTTCAATGTCGGTAATAGACCGAAGGCACTAGAACGATGAGCAGCACAGTATGGAGGCCCTAAACCAGTCGCGTTTGGGCTTTTACACTGGAAAATATCGAGGGAGGAGTACTGCAGGTAAAAATCTCATCGTTTAGCCTCCACCTTCTATACGCGTTTCCTCATGCAAGTGTAATTGTGTGCGTGCTTTACATACACAAACACATATTTGGTTAATTAAAAATAGCTGCAAATTATTTGACTTTTATGATATGGAATGCCTGTTGCTGCCACTGCCACTGCCACTGCCGCTGCTGCTACTGCGGGGACCCCATTGTGGCTCTAGTTTCATATTCGAGTTGA